TTGATTCTGTTTTTTCTGTGTATTTTTACTTTCTCTTTAATTCATTGGAGTCAGGCAGATTGTGATTGGTCGATGGAAGCTTTTGTTTCTGGGAAATAAAATTTTATGATGATGTTTATGTTGACTTGAGTGATAGAGTGTTCATGAATCTGGTAACACTCTCAAACATCGTCCTATAGTTGAACCTGTAGTTGAATCAAAGCTTTTTACTTGGTAAAATAATAATAATAAATAAGCCTTTAAACCATTGTTTCCCTAACACTGGGTCGTCAGGCGGGTCGAAATAGTTTTTTTTTTTTTTTTGGATTGTCTCGCATTATGTTTCCCAGGAGTTTACAAATAATGTCTGTTGACATGGGACGTGAAGAAACACTGGTGTAAAGATTACGACCACGACTGTTCAAAAACTGTGTCTGACGTTTGGTCTGTGTCGGTTCTGACAACTCTCTGCTCCACTCTCTGAGCCTCTCTGTTTACGTTTGTTTTCTGTTAGCATGACTTAGCATCTTCCTATTCTCTGCAGTTTGTCGCAGGACAACGTTATTGTGACGTCAGGACACTGAAGTATAAAAATCGTTTCTTCAGTTTTATCGACCTGTGTTTGATTTGTGGTGCATGTGACGCAGCCCAGAGATTTAAGGCTTTACTCTGTTAACAAAGGTCACTCTCTGTGACTGCTGTAAAAACATAATCCGTCTCATGTGTCCCCTGTTTGAATAAACAGGTCCTCGGTAGAGCTTTGACTTAAGAACAGAAAGCATTGTCTCTTTGATTTAGAGAATAATGATCATGAACATGTCCTGGCACCGATGGAAGTGGCAGCTTTGGTAACGAGTCTTTGATCGACAAACAACTGCCTCTCTCTGATGTTCTGCCTCACGGCCGTCTTTAGGCTGGTCCAAACAGAATTATGTCCTGCTCAGATCGGATTATGATTTCAGATTTCCACTTCTACTGCGTCGGCTCCCCGTCTCCATGGCAACCACATCCTCTAGTCTGTGCCATGTGGCGTACGGTGTGTTTTGCAGACAATAAAACACTTCCAGCCAAAGCTGTGTTTTCAGGACAGGCGGCGGCAGTTTGATGCGAGACAGTGTGACAAAGGTAGTGTGTGGTTGTAGCTCCTGCCACAGCTCCTCCACGGTGAAGTGGTGTAAACGCTGCCCTCGCCTCTTTGTCTGGGGCTGTAGGTGGTCCCGTCTGGCAGAGCGTGAAACCATTTCTTGCTGAGCTTTTAATATTAAAAATGTCATTCAACTGCCGGCCACTTCAAAGCATTCCTCTCATTCAGAGCCGCGCAGTTTTTTTTTTTCCATAAACCGCTCCTGAAGGACCAACTATTTCTTTCTAAGTATGTTTGAGACTGGAGTCGACTGCTACAGTCGGTGGACTGACAATGGTGAGGTGTTTAATGCTCGGTTCAGGTGTAGGAAATGTTCTGTAGTTATGTTATCTCTCAGTTTCAGGCCACTGACTGGACCACTGGGGGGGTCGGGTCTGGGCCACATGTGGTCTGCGGGCCACAATTTGAAAAGGTTGGCGTTTTTTAACATTAGCATAAAATATATTTTTAAAAAAAGGAAGAGTAGTTGTTTTGGGCAGATTTCACAATTTTCTTGACTCTGGCACTTTAGCTTTGAAGCTAACGATAACTTTCAGGTTTTCAGGTGTCCTTCTACTTTTTGATTTTGTTTCTATTCTGTTATAATAGTGAGTGAAAGGTGAGACAGGAAGTGGAGGAAGTCTGATGGCTTCAAAGCAGCCACCTGTGCTAAAAGGTGAAGCCACATGAAAAGACACAGAGACCTTTGCTGTGTCCTGGCAACATGTCAAATGTGTGACGAGGGACACACCCACCCACACCCACCCACACCCCCACCTACAGTACACTGTGTTGTTTCCCTCTTACAGTTGAAGTGTGGACAGGTGATGTCATCTGAAGCAACACCAAATCTCACACAAAGATCTGGTTTGTTTGAAGCTTTGGGAGTGGAGCGTCACCGTTGTGTGTGTGGCTTTGATTTTAGGCTGAGTCTGTGTGGACAAATCTAATTTTTTAATTTTTCTATTATTATTTTGTGTAGGTCGAATGCAGTGAAAGTAGGAAAAATATAATATAAGAAAAAGGGATGGTGGGTTTATTCTCAAAACTCTGAAAGGAGAAAATCATCATTTCATAAAAATGACGTTCTGCAGCTGGATGGTTGTTTAGCTGCGCATGAAGTAATTGTTCTGTTCCTCAGTGTATAAACTGTGGACTGAGTTTTGAAACAGATTTCAGAACTCACTCTGGTGAAATCTCTTCCACACCCCCACCCACTCTCAGGGGGGTTATGACAGAGGATTTGATTTGTCGACTATTTGAACAAAGTCCAACTAGAGCTCGTCATTTCTTATGATCTTTGTGTCACACATGGAGGTGAAATGGATGTTTTCTGACCAGGGTTATGTTGAATTCTCCATCAGAGCATCATCAGCTCTGACCTTATCAGCCAAGAAAATGTGTTTTGTTTCTAAATCTAATCCTGTTTCCTCAGGATCTGCATGGTTATTTTTCTACATAAATATGTTTGTGAAAAACAACTAAAAGCTGCCGTAGATACCGTGTGGTCGGTGACTTGGTGAATACACGGGGCCGGCTGAGAATAGACATAATACATGGCAGTTGGCACAGGTCGTAGAGATCATTTAAAACCAGCAGTGACTCGCTCCAGCTGGTCCCGTCTGGTGAGACTGCAGGATCCTCTCATCCACATCCGGCTCGTTGCCCTTTTGCTGTGCATCATCATCATCATCATCATCATCAGTACAGTCTGTCCTCCCAGTGCAGAGTAACAATTACATTTTCCTGGCTTCACAGGCCTCCTGCGGGTAATGACACAGGAAGAAAAGCATGGTTCCTGTAATACTCCTTCTCAGGGCCCATTAAACCTGGGCCACCTACTGACGGAGCTGCTCCGAGAGCGGCAACGACTCTGACAATCTGCTGTGGTTTCACTTTAATATCGTGGCACGGGAGGGTGATGAAAAAATATGGGTTTGTTGTCGAAACTACTTTGACATCGAACCCTACTGATCAAGTTCTTCAGGCTGGAACTGTTCTTTATTTATATATATTTATTTATCTTATTTATGTTGTTTTCTTTCTTCCCTCACCTTATTTTCCTCCCCCTTTTGCTGTGTTCCCCGTTTTCCCTCCCCTCTCTCAGCCATTGCAGACGCCTGAACACTTAGCCTGGCTCCTCTGGAGATTGTTTTTCCTCCCCACTGTTAGCAACACGCTGCTCAGCATCGTTTAATTTGGTTTTTGTAAAACTAATTCTGCTTTACTTTGTATCGTCCATAAAAACCCAATATAACAACTCTTTGGAGGAGGATTTTAATAATTTTGAATAATAAATATTTTTTAATAAAAATAAATAAATCAATAATTTTATTAATAATTTTAATTCAAATAATTGTTTATTTAATTTTTAATTTCATTTTAAAACTGAATTTTCAACTTCAACATTTGCCGTGTCCACAAGTTTGGCTTCTTACAAACTGTCACCAGTTTCCTGACCTGATCTGTCCAATCGTAGAGTCTCATGAACCTGAAGTATTGATGTTGGTATGAAGGGAGTGGAGTGAGTGAGTGAGTCCACCTGAGCCGCGACCATTACCTTTGTTCCCTTCATCCGTGACCCGGGTCATTGACAGTATACATGGACGTGTCGTGACCCTCAGGCAGGACATTGTCCTCTCCTCCCTCGCCTCCGTCTGGCTGTGTAATCTTGCGGCCGTGGCGTCGGAGTCGGTGCTGGGATCCTGTGTCACTCACTACACAAAGACCACACTGTACTCCACTCACTGTATTGTTCTACCCTGAGTTCAGGGGCACAATGGTGCCTTTATCCCCCCTCTGCCCCCTCAGTGCAGAGGGGAGTTGGAGAGCCCTCTGTCAGGTGCTTTTCTTTGACCTTAGTCCATTAGGGAGTTTGTCTGCAGTGACACAGTTCTGAAAGGACAGTCTCTCTTGGTCAGTGTTAACCACTGAGAGGGAGAGAGATAAAAAAAACAGAAGTTCAAATGGTTGGTTTGTCATTGTGTTCAATGCCAAGTGCGTGGACAGAGCAGAGGAGAGGAGAGAGCTGCTGAGTCACAGCAGGCTCTGCTCTTCTGTACAACGCCTCCCACACACACACCACACCGCTGACCCTCTAACGTCCACATTTGCTGACCACTGCTGGATTTCAGAATCGTTAACATTCAGCATTGTCATACTCTCCAGACGGACTGTAGATCTCTGACTCATTTTGATCCAGATTCCTCCAGCAGGGGTGCTGTTTGGGGGCAGGTGTTAGCTCTGATTCAGTATCAAGTTGTTTTCATACAAATATATAATGCCTTTTCAATGACTTATATTATAAAAACTGGATGGAGACACTGTTAAAGAAATGCATTAAAACCTGATAAACATTCTGGACGCAGAAACAGTTTGGTGTCCAACATTCTGGACGCAGAAACAGTTTGGTTTGAAGACACATTTTGGACTTATCGTCAGAGTGAGGATTTTGGGCTGTGTGGTTATGACTTTGTGCCAAATCCTTCTGGTCCACAGCTGCTCAGTGAGGCAGACCTACCATTCACTAAGAGAGAGATTTGAGGCTCAGTCTGTGTACTGGCTAGTACTGCAGTATCTAAATATATGCATTATATACAGCCCTGCAATATACAGTAGATCTGGTGTTTGTGTAAAATATGGAGTGTATAATGAAGTATAAATACATATGCATACATATATAAACATATATAAAATCTGTATATATGTCTGTATAAAAATATATATTTATATATTTGCTTATACATTTTTTATATATATATAAATACATATGCAAAATCTTTATATGTGTGTATAAAAAATATATATTTATATATTTACTTATACATTTATATATATATATATTTATCTAAAAATATATTTTTGGCTTAAATGTATTCCCTTCTGTGTCCTGTCGCAGGATTCGTCCTCAGTTGGCCAGAGAGAAGATCGAGGGATGTCACATTTGTACCTACGTGATGCCCGGGGAGCCTCAGGTGATCCTGGGGAAAGACAAGGCCTTCACCTACGACTACATGTTCGACATGGACTCCCAGCAGGACGCCATCTACAGCACGAGCACTGAGAAGCTGATCGAAGGCTGCTTCGAAGGCTACAACGCCACCGTGTTTGCCTACGGACAGGTGAGTTCCCGTGTTAGCCTTCTTAGCTTCTCACCTTGGAGACTGGTAGGCCGATAGCTGAGAGGGTGGAGTGAGGTTGTCTAAATCTTTGTTTCCCAAAGACTGGGTCGCGACCCTCAAGTGGGTCACGAGATTTTTTTTTTGGGTCGTCTCGCATCATGTTTCCCAAGGAGTTTACGAATAATATCTATTGACTTGGGTCGTGAAGGTTTGTGACGTTATGCGTCTTTTACATGAGTCCGTTTCAAACACCTCTCTCCTCTCACTGCTGGCCTGGATCTGGAGTTCTGTCCTAGATCAGACTGGTTTTCCTCTGTGGATTTTACAGAATATAATCTAGATTTAGCCAACCCACTTGGCTCTGAGCCAACAGCTCAGCCCAGCTGTACTGCTGATAATGACAGAAAAAAAATCCTTTGATGGTTTTTTATTTTTTCTAAACCAAAGATGTTTTTACTGTTTATATCCAGTGTCATTAACTGATATCACAGCCACTTTATCATTGAACATTCAGATAACGCAGGCATACCGTATTTTCTGGACTAAAAGTCCCACTTTTTTTCATCCTTTGGCTGGGTTTGTGACTTATACTCAGGTACGACTTATACATTAAAATATATAATTTCACAAGATTGTTATTTTCACACTGACAGCCACTAGAGGGCACTCTAGGCCTGTGTAACAGTATCTGCTACTCCTGTACCACTGAAACTTTACATGCCTTTTTAAGAGAGTTTTTTTCCTCTGTCCTCTAACAGACAGGTTCAGGGAAGACGTACACCATGGGGACGGGCTTCGACGTCAACATTGTGGACGAGGAGCTGGGCATCATTCCACGTGCTGTCCACCACCTCTTCAAAGGCATCGAGGAGCGTCGTCAGGCCGCCCAGGAGCAGGGACGGCCCGTGCCCGAGTTCAAGATCAACGCTCAGTTCCTGGAGGTCTGAAAACACATCACTGCATCGCAGAGATATGGATATTTAGTCATTTATTAATCTCAATTTAGAATAAAAAACTATTGATACTGACTGATATTCCTACATTGAACATTGATAAAATAAAATTTTAATCTAGTAAGTTCAAAAAAATGAAAAAAAAAATTACTAAATAAAACAAAATGAATGGACATATTTCAACCTTCTCATCAAACCTTTTTATTTTCGTCTGTTTTAAATCTATAAAAGTTTCATCTCCACCTCTGCTCCGTCTTGACTTTCTGGTGCTCTGCCTTCATTAAAGCTCTATAATGAGGAGGTTCTGGACCTGTTTGACTCCACACGAGACATGAAGCAAAAATCTCACATCAGAATCCACGAGGACGCCACAGGAGGGATCTACACGGTGGGCGTGACCACACGGACCGTGTCCTCCGAGGCCGAGGTAATAAACAGATGGAGAAACAGAGAAACAGAACAGATTTACAGCTCATTCAATGACTGTAAAGGACTTTTCCAGGACCTGTGTCATACATTTATCACCTCGTCTGGAAGCCAGATGTTTATTAAATGAACAAACATTAAAGTCTTTTTTGTTTTGTTTGTGTTTAGATGTTGCAGTGCCTGAAGCTGGGCGCTCTGTCTCGCACCACAGCCAGCACTCAGATGAACGTGCAGAGCTCCAGATCACACGCCATCTTCACCATCCACCTGTGCCAAGTCCGCGTTTGTGCCTCTGACAATGTTAGTGCAGTATCACACACACACACACACACACACAACGACCAGGACATTTGAAATATAACCATGAAGTCAGGTGTTCACGTGATGAGGTTTAACAACAAAAAACATAGGAATAAATGTGAGTTAAAATATTTGATTTTTTTTGTGTCTGTCAGACGACTGAATGTGATTAATCACAAGGTAGGAGTTGATTAATCATGATTATTTCTCATCCTCATTGATCACAGTTAATCAAGATTAATCAAGATCAAATCAAATGGGTAATAAAGTGTGACATATTTGTGAAACAGAAATACCAAATACCAGCAGCTAGACGTTTGAATTATTGAATTATTTATCTAAAAACATGTCAAGAAAAATGTGCAAAAATATAACTAAACAGAGTTGATGGATTTTAGATTTTAGAGGCTGAAGTCAGACGTCTGACCTCTAGTGGATATTGTAGGCTTAGGTTTAACATTAAAGCCAGATTTCTATGATGTTTTTTTAATCTAAATCCTAAGTGTAATTTAATAAGGTTTGTAACAGTGGACTCTGCAGCAGCAGTTCCTCTGAATATTCTCAGGTAAGTCGGTGCCTGCAGTCATTTTCCACAAGACCGTGTCTGTTGACATGATGACGCAGGAGACACTGTCTGTGATGCAGTCTCACTAATTGAGGTTGTGTGTGTGTGTGTGTGTGACTCAGCAAGAAAACGAGACCGATAACAGAGTTTCCAATGGAAACGAGATGGACGAGTATGAGACGCTGACGGCCAAGTTCCACTTCGTGGACCTGGCTGGTTCAGAGAGACTGAAGAGAACCGGAGCCACGGGGGACCGAGCCAAAGAGGGCATCTCCATCAACTGTGGACTGGTGAGTGTCAAACCACCGTCTCACTGCTGCAGTGCCAGTCTTCACACTGACGTGTCGAGGATTTGACTCTCTTGAGTTACACTGCCACCTTGTGGCGTGAAGGTCGTAACGTTCAACAAACAGCTATGTCATGTTTTTAACATTAGGTTGACTTAAACCTAAAACGGTTTTTAAGTTTTGTTTTTTTTTTCAAATTTAGCATTTCATGTTTCTGTCGTTGAAAATACATGTAAATATTCTTTTAGAATTCAAAGGGTATATTACATTACTTTGATTTATTTTGATTGTGATATAATTAGTAGATTTAAAAGCCAGGAGGAACACAAAAAAGTATTTTAAAAACATTACTTAAAAAAAAAAAATTAAACTTGCCTTGCCAGTCACTTGCATTTCATACAGGTATCAACCTCTACCAACTCCAGCTAAAGGTCATTTCATTAGATAATATGTAGGACAATTTAAAAGGTAGCATTTTTTTTTTGTTTTTTTAAGCAGTTTCATTAAGGAGAAGACTTTTACAGTCCAAGAACAGAGCTGTGGTCTACAGACCAGGACCTGAACATCAACTGTCCGTCACTGAACCTCTTCTTCCTCCATTCTTTTCTTCTGCAGCTTGCTCTGGGGAATGTAATCAGTGCTTTGGGAGACCGGAGTAAGCGGTCCTCACACGTGCCTTACAGAGACTCCAAACTAACGCGACTTCTGCAAGACTCATTAGGAGGAAACAGGTTTCTTCAAACACTTCTTTCTTTGATTATTGTCTCCATTTCAGATGATGTTTATGTAATAATGATAATAATAATAATAATTTTCTACTCCATAATCCGTCTCCCAGCCAAACAGTGATGATCGCCTGCATCAGTCCGTCTGACCGTGACTTCATGGAGACTCTGAACACTTTGAAATACGCCAACCGAGCTCGCAACATCAAGAACAAGGTCATGGTGAACCAGGACAAGGCCAGCCAGCAGATCAGCGCTCTGAGAACAGAAATAGCTCGACTACAGATGGAGCTGATGGAGTACAAGACGGTGAGAGGAGGATTTCACTCCAGCGCGGCTGTCGCAGACATCGTCAACTCTGAGATTTGAACCACCTCTACCTTTGAACCGCTGTGTGTGCAGGGTAAACGTCTGGCAGGAGAGGACGGCATGGAGAGCTTCAGTGACATGTTCCATGAGAATTCCATGCTGCAGACGGAGAACAGTAACCTGAGGGTGAGAGTGAAGGCCATGCAGGAGACCATCGACGCTCAGAGGGCGAGGCTGACTCAGCTGCTCAGTGACCAGGCCAACCAGGCCCTGGCCCGGGCGGGTGAGACAAAAATGAAATGAAATGATATGAAATTATTATTATTATTATTATTATTTTTCAAATGTTTCTTCTTCTTTGGTTGATGTGTGTTGTGTTTGTCACCCAGGTGAAGGAGGAACAGAAGAAATTGGAAACATGATTCAGGGTTATATCAAAGAGATTGAAGACCTCAGGTGAACAACTCTGACTCTAAATGTTAAAAAAAAAAAATAAAAACAATATTTCAGATCAGGTTCACAAATATCTACATCAAATAGGTCTGGATGATCGTTTACACCTTTTTAGTTTAATGAAATAGTTAAATTTCATCGTCACACTGAGGTGTTGTGGATGTGACACTCTTGAGTTACACTGCCACCTAGTGGCATGTAGGTGAAAATGTTCAACCAACAACTATGTAATGTTTTTAATATTAGGTTGCCTTGAACCTAAAACGGCTTTGAACATTTTTTCAAACTTAGCATTCTTTTTTAGTTTATTAAAATAGTTAAATTCCATGTCATGTTTTATAAGAGAGAAAGAGTTTTTCTAAGACTTTTGAAGGTCACTTTGTCTGACTCATATAAATGGCTCCTGGCAATTTAAAAAAATGTCTAACCTTGCTTTACAGGCAGTTTCCTTTAAACAGTGTTGACCTGTTGTGACCTTGTCTTTTTGTCCCCCCGTCTTCTCCGTCCTCAGAGCCAAACTCCTAGAGAGTGAGGCCGTCAACGAGAATCTGAGGAAGAATCTTTCCCGTGCCTCGAACCGTCAGTCCCTCTACGGAGGTCCCGGCTCCTTCTCCACCTCGCTGTTGGCCCCTGAGAAGGAGACCTCTGACATCATCGAACTGGCCAAGAAAGACCTGGAGAAGCTGAAGAAACGGGAGAAGAAGAAAAAGAAGAGGTAGTGAGAAGAGTTGTGCTCATTTGTTACTCACTTGGTGCTCGGAAGAGTTTGAGTTGAAGTGGTGTGAGAATTATCTTTTCACAGTTTTACATTTTTATAATATATCAAAAAATACACACAGACCACTAAACGTATTTGTACTGAGTAATTGGTAAAAAAATGAACACCACCAAATGATCTGCCATGAAGAATAAAAAAGGATTAAACAGAGGGGAGTGGGGTGGGGGGTGGAGGGGTGAAAGGGTTGGTTGTTAGCGCGGAGCTTCTTCTGACCATTCTGCCCTACATTTCTCCTTCCTCTGTTCATCTCTTGCTTCCTTCTCTCCCTTTGACCTGTCACCCCTCCCTGTGAAGACTCCAGCAGCTGTTGGAGGAGAGAGAGAGGGAGGAAGGGGAGGAGGTGGTGGTGGAGGAGGTTGAGGTTCATTGACGTTTCAGAGCTTCCACCCTCCTGTCGCCTCTCACTTTTCTTTGCTTCCCCTAATTCAACCTCTCTCCCAGTTTTCATTGACGTTTAGCAGGTTAATGTCTTCACCTGGAGTAAGGACATGTGTGGACCAACACTGCATAGACACTGCAGCTGCTCACTGTCACTACAAACCACCACACTGGTGTTTGTGTCTCCTTCGATCATCCTTTGGTTCTCATGATGCGTCACTGCATTTCCTGCTGCTTCTCTCTGTCTTTTTTTGCCTCTGTAATAACGCAAAGCTGAAAAACAAACGGCCAAGCACAAACTTAATTATTCAGCTTGAATTTTTAATGTAGTATTTATGCAGCTGATTTGCTTTAAGGAGTGGGTTCATCTGTCATCAGATGTTGCATTTTTCCCTTCATGCTTTTTTAAAAATTTTCGTTCTGATTCTCTGAACAAATATCTTTTAAAACAGAAAAGTATTTATGACAGGAATAAACTAAAAACAGCTAACAGCTCTGCAGCATTTTGCCTTTCCCCAAAAAGTCTAAAAAGACTAAATCAGTTATCATGTTTAATTATTTATAAATGTTGTTCTGTTTTTAAGATGACATAATAAAATAATGCATAAATATTAACCATTATGTTTTTCCACGTGTGTAAACACGTGTGTAAACATGTCATTAAGTTGCATGTGTAAAATCAAAAGGTCAAAACTTGCTTTGACTCCTCATTTTGTTAAAATCTCTTAGTGCCAACAAGGAGGACGCTCCTGACATCGAGCAGGAGAAGGAAACAACCGAACAAGTCAGTGAGGACGCAGAAATGGTAGGAATAACACTTCATATGAATTTTGTTTTCTTTATTTGTTTTGTTGATTCTATTCTGTTGTTTTCTCGGTGTGTAGGATGTCCAGGAAGGCAGTGACCATGAAGAGGGAGAGGAGGAGGAGGAAGAGGAAGAAGATGAGATGGACGTGGAGGAGAGCTCAGAAGATTCAGACTCAGAGTCTGATGAAAAAGGTGACAGATGACTTCATGACTCTTTTTTTTTTCTCTTACTGTAGTCTACTATAGTACAGTATGGCCACTAGAGGGAGCACTGGGCTTGTAGATTGAGATTGACTGTACCGTTGTCGTGTAGCTCTCTGTGCTGCATTAATGAGCAGCTTTAATAACATCGGAAGGTTAAAATTGAACTGATTTTCAATAGGTCGGATCCTGAATAAAAATAATAAAATGTAATATAAAAAAAATAAAAATGGGACATTTATAAAGCTTAGTTAAAGTAACCTAATAGCCAAATATAATTGTTTTTGTTGTCACAAAATAAGCTCAAATGATGGAGGAATGACCCAAAAACTAGTATAAAATGTTTTTTTTTGTCTAATGCAATAACTTCATTGTGACTGTAAATGTTTTGAAGTAGAGTGCAAAATGCAATAATTTAATTGTGACTGTAAATGTTTTGAAGTAGACCAGCTCACCATGTTGACTGAGAACACATTGTCTGTTGTCCTTCAGAGAACTACCAGGCAGATTTGGCCAACATCACCTGTGAGATTGCAATCAAGCAGAAGCTGATCGACGAGCTGGAAAACAGCCAGCGGCGTCTCCACACGCTCAAACAGCAGTATGAACAGAAGCTGATGATGCTGCAGTGCAAAATCAGGGACACCCAACTGGAGAGGGACCGTGTGCTCCACAACATGAGTAAGAGGCCAGAGGAGGGAACGAGTCACTCGATAACAAACCCATCACACTCCAACAATTGGGCTAAACTGAGTTGTCTATGAGATTCAGATGTCCTCAATCAGCTCATTTCAAGTGTCTCCTAATTGTCTATTCAACCTTTTGACAACAGCGTGCACAGCGTGAAGTACACTCATGAAGTATTGTGTGTGTTATTAATTCAGATTCAGTGGAAAGTGGCACCGAAGACAAAGCTCGTAAAATCAAGGCTGAATACGAGAAGAAGCTGAGTGTCATGAACAAGGAGCTCCAGAAGCTCCAGTCGGCCCAGAAGGAGCACGCTCGCCTGCTGAAGAACCAGTCGCAGTACGAGAAGCAGCTGAAGAAGCTTCAGATGGATGTGGCAGAAATGAAGAAGACCAAGGTACAGTCCGTCATCTTCATGTGGTCAGATCATGTAACGGGGTAATCTGATTACATATTTAACAGGTCTTAATGTGTTTGACGCAGGTCCGTCTCATGAAGCAGATGAAGGAGCAGCAGGAGAAGAACAGGATGAATGAATCTCGCAGGAACCGCGAAATCGCTTCCTTGAAGAAAGACCAGCGCAAGCAAGAGGTTAGTGAGTTTTTCTTCTTCTTCTATGACTTCATCAGCTTCACTTTATCTTTCTTTCTTTAATGCTGTTGTTTTTTTTTTCTTTTCTCAGCATCAACTCAGGCTTCTGGAGGCTCAGAAGAGACAGCAGGAGCTCATCCTGAGGAGGAAGACGGAGGAGGTGAGCTCAGTGTGTCACAATGACAAGCAGTGTACCTTCCTAAAGCTGTGCTCACATTTCCTTGTGTGTGTGTGTCCAGGTGACCGCTCTGAGAAGGCAGGTTAGACCGACCTCAGGTAAGGTCATCAGAAAGGTCAATCTCTCAGAACAGACAGTCCAGGACTCCACCCACAGACCTCCGTCTGGACGCATGTACCCATCTGGCAGTGCGGCTCCCAATGGTAACCGGTGAGTCTTCGTCTAATTTTGTTACAAAAGGAGTCGCAGTCAAATATGATCAAACCTATTATCTAAAAACAAATCTATCAAAAAGATATTTCCTAACATCACGTCAAATATGATCGAACCTATTATCTAAAAACATAAATCTATCAAAAAGATATTTCCTAACATGATAAATTGTTAGGTTGTAATAACAGATCAGAAAAATATCATATTGATGCCGTGAGGAACAGACAATAGAATTAAAAAAATCCAAAAATCCAATCCCTAAAAGTGAGCGATAAAATAATGTCTTAATTAAGTTTATGAACTTTCTTCCACTGTTTCACCTTACCTGGATTTGTCTTAAAATACCAAATATTATTTTATTGAATATGATCCCTGCAGTAAAAAAGTGATTTGGTCAAAGCAGCCTGTACATCTGAGCTGTTTTCTGTCGTTGCAGTTCCTACTACAGGCGAACAACAGGCGTTTACTCCACCAGAGTAGCTCGGACCAAATGGCAGTCGCTGGAGCGGAGGATCTGTGACATCATCATGCAGAGGATGACCATCTCGAACATGGAGGCCGACATGAATCGTCTTCTCAAGGTAACGTACCGATGCAGCGCACAGTTGAGTGATAACGTGGAGGAGGTTTATCAGCTGAAGCTTTTATAATGTAATGTAGATCATTGCTGTTGGAGTTAATAATGTCTGTTGACTTGGGACGTGGTCTCGTCTTATCTGTGTGGCTACAGCAACGAGAGGAACTGACCAAGCGTAAAGAAAAAGTCCTCAGGAAGAAAGACAGACTGGTCAGAGAAAGTCCAGAGGCCGAGAAGACCGTAGTTCCACTCAGTGAAGAAGTGGACGCCCTGACGGCCAACATCGACTACATCAACGACAGCATCGCAGACTGTCAGGCTAACATCATGCAGATGGAGGAAACCAAGGTGAGGAACTTTATTTTTGTTCACAGATTTTTATTTTTTTAACAGGAATTTTTTTTTAGTGCTTCACAAATGTACTCTTTGATTCCAGGAGGAGGGTGACACCGTGGATGTCTCTGCTGTGATTGGTTCATGCACCCTGGTCGAGGCTCGTTTCCTCCTCGATCACTTCATGTCTATGGCCATCAACAAGGTAATGGATCCTGACAGTCCTCAAAAATTCTTTATAATTTGTAGAATTATTTTTTTGAACTTTTTGACTTACCCTTGTATTTACCTATACCTGGTCGTACTTTATGCTTCTCTTCCATCTTCAGGGTCTGCAGGCGGCTCAGAAGGAGTCGCAGGTGAAGGTGATGGAGGGCAGGCTGAAACAGACGGAGATCACCAGCGCCACCCAGAACCAGCTGCTCTTCCACATGCTGAAGGAAAAGGCGGAGTTCAACCCAGAGCTGGACGCTCTGCTGGGAAACGCTCTCCAAGGTAGAAACAGCATTTCTCAGTTTGTCCTGAGAGAGAAGAGGAGCTGAACAGACACAGAGACACCTGCCTTAACTCAGTCCACCACCACCTGCACTGACGGAGAAACACTGGAGTCAGACTTCGTTATGGAAAACGTATTTTTTAATTATTTCCGTGCATTTGCTGATGGTGGACTCAGTTGTTGGTCAGTTGCATGAGTGAACAAACAGACATGCTCTCTCGCCTGTGGCCTTCTCCTGAACAGAGGCTGAAAAGATAAATATCTGAAAAGTAAACATTAAACAAATCTTTTTCTCGCCTCTGTTCTGGAGGATGCCTTCTTTACAGTAGCTGCACTTTATAATTATTGTTTTATTTATTGAGTTATTTGTCTTATGATTTTCGGGGGAAAGTGTTTTTGATTTGTGCACTGCCTTTTTTTCTATTCCCCCATTTTTCTTTTTCCTTTTTTTTCCCCCTTTTTTTTGTTTCGTTTTCCTCTGTTTTCACAGAGCTAGGTAACATCCCAGCTGGTAAGTGGAATCACATCAGACTTCCCTGTGTAAAGAATGCATGGTTCCTTCCCTCTGTACTCGAATACTAACGAAACACAGACATTAACAGGCGCATGAGGTGCAATGCAACCAGACTTCCCTCCATCTGTCTGCTGACCCTTCACTTCCCTTCATCTGGACACACACCACCTCCTCCTCCTCCTCCTCTTCCTCCTCCTCCTCCTCCTCCATCTTACCATGTGCTACAGCCTTTATGCTTTAGCACCGTAACAAACCCAGACCCTTTCAACAGGAACTGTACAACATGAATATATTTGATCTCTGTTGGGACCCCTGTTGGTCAGCTGACCCATTGAGAGCCTGGCTGCCTGTCTGACCTCTGACCTCTGACCTCTCACCCTCTGTTTTTAATCCATTTAATCACATTGAGCTCAGTGAGTTTGTGGATTAAAAACGGCATGGCCCGGCTCTGATACCGCCCTCATCTGCTTCCCTGCCTCATCTTCTCTACGTCCAGTTTGGGCAGCAGAGAGTTTAGTTCTTTAGTGGATCAGAAAGAAAGGATAAAACATATGATAATGTGTATTAGAAGATGAACCTGCTAAGAAACAGAAAAGGAAACGTTAGAACAGTCACATCAGTTTTGTCGTAGCTACAACTTTATTTTGTTCATATTGTTTAACAGAAAACGGTGACGACAGCAGCAGTGATGAGTCTGCACAGAGTCCGTCAGCAGAGGGAACGTAAGTTCACTTCACTACACTGGAAACATAAGGATTCTAAGAATATGTCTATGAAGATTCTCATCATCCAGGTCAGGGTCGAGGTTGAACAGTTCTCATCCAAGAGGCTTCAACGAAGTGAAGACGAAGTCTTCTTTTAGAAAATCTACGTCCAGTTGCCACAGGACGCTTCAACCTTGATTCTAAGAATAAGAATTTTTATTTATATTAGAATATTGATCAGGAATAAACTTACTAAACTGAAATCACTTAAAAAAACCAGAAAAACAAGAAGTGTAATGTCATCATTTTAGGATTGAACCCAAACATTACTTTTTTCAACTAAGATGTAGCAGAGAAATCTTAACAATAATAACAATGAAGTGGTCATTTCAAGTTCTAAATTAATTGG